TCTAAATTTCTTCAAAATGTTCCTGATATGGATGCATGTAATTTTTTTATTCCGATAGAATTTAGTTACTTTTCCCCTTCAACAATGATTTACTGAAACCATCAAGCACAGTTCAAGAAAGTTTTCAGCGGTAGTAATTTATTAGATATAACGCTTAATGGTTCTTGTTTCAGTCTCACTGGAAAATGACAAATTATGTATAGCATTTCTGCACATCGATAAAATGTGATTCGGTGGATTTTGCCTACGTTGGTCCCCTGCATTTCAGCTAAATATGTAGTCCTTGTTTATATTTCACATCAGCATATTCCTTCTTACTTGGATGTAATCACCTAAATCAACCTTAACCTCATTAGCTATTGGCTTTTTCGTGAACACTAAAATTCTGTCACTCATATTAAATATCAGCGTGAAGGATAGAAAAGTCATAGTTGAGATACTAAATTATTCAACCTAACCTAGAAAAGGAAAACCCATAAAAGTATTCAGGACAAATGATACTTCAATTAAAGATACTTTAGATGTTCTACAAAGTGAAAAAGCTATTCGGAACCTTAGTTTTAGTCCATACTAAAATACTACCGTGGTGAAATATGGGAATAATGTGAATTCACTCAAATTCAGTATTTCTACACTAGATAGCCCCGATGAGTTTACTTCACTACCTCAATAGGACGAAAACTAACAGTTCACATCCATTCTCTGTGGGAACAACATCACTGGGGTGCAGATATATCTAGCTGACGAATCCGAAATAGGATGAAACGTGCATCCTGGATTCTTCTACTAGCCAAAACCAACCAAATTATCATAATTAGCATTCAGGCAATATCGAGGCATCCACATAGGAGCCCATATGCTAATAGAGGTCGAACAATTCGATCCAACAAAACAACGGAGAATTACAAGTATATCAATAAATAGTAATAACTACTGCCCGTTGTACAAGAAGTCGCTATCGTTCTTCCGTGGCACAGTGGATAACGCCTTGGCGTTTGAAGCGATGGGTACGAGGTTCGAGTCTCAGTGGGAACAACACTGACTGGAGTGCACGTACATCCAGCTGATGAGCCCCAAATAGGACGAAATGCGCATCCTGGGTTTTTCTGCTGGCTACAACACACCAAATTATCATAGTTCAGACGACAATTCATTGGCCAGTGTGTATTTAGAATCTTATTCAAACATGGGCGTATAGGCACCTCATGAATAATCATTCAGGATTGAACACTTTTTGATACGTTGAGAAAACAGTTGCAAATAAACTTTAAAAATGACAACAAAAGATTTTCTTATATTGCTTCACATTATTACAGTCTGGACAAAATATATAACCAGATGAAAACAATTTGATTGTGTTAGTAACCTAAGATTATGCAAATGATTTTCCTCTCTAGCTGACATAAAGTTATTACTTCACTGAGAATAATTCTAACCTGTTTGACCTAGACTGACCTTTCAATCTAAAGAAAACAATATTACTAGCGGTAAGATAAAACAAAGAACCTATTGAAAGCATAGATGTGTGCATATTGTTTGCATATTAGTTATCATGAGAATGATAAATGAAATATATATAAATTGGATTAATTATAATTTGTCTGGATTTTTATTTGTATCAAGTTTTCATTGGCAAACTTTCGACAAGAAAAGCTTTAATGCATAAAATATTTTCGCGTTTAATAAAAATTGTCTACTTTACTCTTTTAAGGAAGTGTCCTATTAAAACTGATTGATTACTAACTATAGTCTGTCTTTTACCCTAGAGCATCTTAGATATTACTATTTATTGACATACTATTTATTCTCCGTTGTTTTGTTGGATCAAATTGTTCGACCTCTGTTGGCATACGGGCTCCTATGTGGATGCCCCGATATTGCCTGAATGTTAATTATGATAATCTGGTTGGTTTTGGCTAGCAGAAGAATCCTCCGTGGCATAGTGGATAACGCCTTGGCGTTTGAAGCGATGATTACGAGGTTCGAGTCTCAGTGGGTACATCAGTGACTGGGGTGCAGGTACGTCCAGCTGACGAGCCCGTTATAGGACGAAACGCGCGTCCTCGATTCCTCTGCTAGCCACAATCAACCAAAGTATCTTAGGTAGTTTATCTGATAAATTATTACGATTACCAATCAAACAAAACTCCAGTATTTTTTACACTGGACGGTGGGTTAAAATTAGTCGAGTTTTTTCATGTTTCCTAATGAATTTTATTAGTACTTGAGAATTTCTACGACCCTAATGCAACAGAAAATCTCAGGTCAATAAAACAGAAGTTATTGGGTGAAAGGTTATTCTGGACCGTTTGAAAAGTTCTAGGTTCCATTGTCAAGGGTATATCAACTGCCTACTCAATGATTTACATTTCGTCTGAATACTTATCTCAATAAAAACTGAGAATTAACAATTATTTACAAACTCATCCGACATTGTCAAGAATGACATAAGAACATTGTTATCCAGTTACCAAATGAGCTGTGGCTCATTGGTCTAAGGATTCGGTTTCTTAGCTACTATGTCATCATTTCTAACCATTCTTCACTTTACAAGGTCTATGCAGCCGGATAGCGTATTCAACTCACAAACAATTAGTGTGCCTCAGTGCTCACTGCATGAATGTTCACTTATTTTGACTGATCAAGAGACGAATGACTGATTACTCATCTTAACTAATCCATCTACTAGTTCATCACTGGGTATCATAATTTTATTCCTTCTCTTTCGAAATAAACTCCGATGAAATGCCAACAAGTAAGATTTGAAGTTTTAGATCAACTTCGTTCAGAAAAATCAATACGGTAAATATTCTTTTACATATTCCTCCTGAAATTCGAAGTAGGCATTAACTTTCCTCTTGTTAATACTTTCTAATAAACAGTGTGATATAGACTATTCAAAACTCTTTTTCACTGATCTTTTCACTTATCAAACACGAACAAAACAGAATTATTTATACCGTAGTTTTACTGACAGGTTCGGTTTTATCATCTGGTGGTACACTTCTTTTTCAGGTTTAATTTTCACGTTCTTCTCGCACATTGGTTTTTTTTCTAAATAATCACATTGATCTCACCAACTGAAAGTAACTAACCAATATTTGTAGATTTGCTGTAGTTAAGTTTTAATAATCTTTATAGTTTATTGTTAAAGGAAAGTGCAGTGTTCTGACGAAAATCTCTATATACTTATTATCCGTTTCTTTTAAAACTTGTCGCAGCGTCTATTTGGCATTAATCACCCCTGAACAGTAACATACTAAACATAAGTTATTTATCTTCAACATGGAATGCTGAAGTCAATAAATATATCCTAAAGAGTTCAAAGATTTGCCGAAACGGTTGATTAGTACAGGATCATTCTCAATTATTATCAAATGAATATTATCATTTGCTTAAACCAGTAGTCAAGTTGGCATTCAGCATGGGCTGATATCGGTCAGAGGAACATTGGAAATCTAAAAGCACTGGGCAACTGTTTCGTCCTAGTATGAAGGTCCTCAGAAGTGTGCACCCATTACTGTGCCCCCTGGGGCTCGAACCCAGTACTTTCGTGTTCCAGGGCCAACACGTTACCATTATTTGAGTATTTGTCTTCATGGCCACCAGGTTTGCTCTATCAGTTATGACTTCACATTGGAACTTTGAGAATCAGCTCTGAAGTAGTCACCAGTGAGCAGCAGATTAATTCTATTTGGAGGTTTATGGAGATTCGGTGATTGATTTCAAGTTGGTATTCATCGTGGACTGACATAACTGGCGAGGTCATGGGTAAGGACTACTGAGGAATCCTACACTAAGACGAAATAGCTGTGAAGTTCTCTCTCATTTCCAACGTTCCCCTAATCGATGTCAGTTCATGTTCCTGATGAATCCCTAAATCAAAAACCAAGCGTTTTTAAAAAGGTATCATTTAAAATGATTCATTGATGACTTAACTCCAGTTTTCAGATTTTATTTACGACAAGAGTGAGAAAACTCAGTTCTTTGTTAACGAAAGTCAGCTGTTACCGTTTATAGATATGACTTATCAATATGGTCTGCTTAAATCTTGAGCTATCTAAAATTTTCCACTGAATATATAACATCAAACTGCTCCCTTTGAACTCTACTATCACACGGTTTTGTACTATTTTCAACCTCCTATTTTGTCAGTTACCAATAAACTTAAGCGAAAATATCATGGTATATCACATGACACTAGATATGCTATGAATTATCAAGTAACTATTCCTGAAATAAATCATCACCCAGAAACTACTATCAAATCTATGTATGTTTTCTATGAGTCCCTCATTCAGGTAGTATTATAACGCAACAATAGTTGGTTATTACATACTGTAACTTGTAATAATGTTATTAGTGAAATTATGATGTCAATAAAATTACTTCATTTGAAAATATTGTACAGTGAAGTAAATTTGTGGAATTATTGCATTCTCAGAATTCCAAATTGTATTAAAAGTATGACTTGCAATAAATTGATTGTTATTGTGAACTGATAGAAGTTGGATCATTTGGTTCCGACCTAGTGGCTTAATGGTAACTCACTGGCCGTGGAACATGATTCGATCCCTAGAGGACCGGGTCATGGATGCACATTGCTGAGGAGTTCCATACTAAGACGAAACAGTTGTCCAATGCTTTTAGGTTTCCAATGTTCCTCTAATTGATATCGGTCCATGAAGAATACCAGCCTGAGATTATTATCATTATTATTAACATTTCAGTTAACTTTATCTTTATCGTTATTTTGTTTAATTGTTTTCCCAGGAGTAATAGTTTGACGATCCTTTAAATCTAATAAATTTCTGATATGATGCTTTTTATTTTTGCTGACAGTATAACTGTCACTTCGTAAAACATTATTCCCCTTGAATTACAAAGATTACAAAATAATATTTATTAAACTTTTCGGTTTCAGTCTTGATTATTCTTGATACAATTTTTTGCTGACTACCACCTAGTCTACATTTTCTATATACACTTTTGTTTCTAAGGTCCAAAAGATGCACCAACAAATTTAAGACTGTCAAAATTAAAGTTGAATAACAAATTACACAAGAAGCTTCAATTATTGGACTTTTCATCTGTTACCAACTGGGTTGCTGATACTTCTACAACTACCGCCTCTTCTGATCAGGAGTATTCTTCAACCCCACTGCACACTAGTGCAAGTCATGATGAAGATCATCCTACTTCACGCTTTTCTGTTACAATGCTTATTAAATGGGATCCTCCAAGTTATCCAAATGGTCGAATACTTGGTTCGACATTGTATCTCACTACTAATTTTAAACAGTCTGCAAGAAAGTGGGTAGAGAGATCAGTAAATGGTGGAAGTACTGAAGCTGGCCTACTGAGAATGCAACCAAGTACGCTATATTTTGTCAGAATTATTGCACGAAATCAGCATGGAAGGTCACCTTATTCATCTATCGTCGCATTTTACACACCCAATGGTATGTTTTTGCTTCATAATGTAAGATAGGTTAGAATTATGATTGCACTTTTATACTACAGTAAATGTCACAAATGTTGATATAATACACATGTTAACAGTTTTTTAAGTTAGGCTCAAATCACTTTCAGTTTTTGGTTGTATTGTGTTCCCTGAGTTGGATTGTTTAATTGTGGAGCTTCCATCAACTTTCTAGACGGCATCATCAGAACTAACTTCAATATGAAGTGGACTGTCAATATCTCTCCATGATTCAATAGTTTGCCCTGATCAATTGGTTTGTGATTATTTGTTTCTTCTGATTGTTGTGTCTCTGATTGTTCCTCTGCTCCCCCTCTGACATTTCTGTTGTTTATCTTCTTTTATTGGTTGATGGAACAAGTCTATGTCTATACATCTACTGATTGCTGACTGACCTGAATGCTAAGTTTCTAGGAATTCTGTGATATTCTTTGTGTTTCCTCTGTCCAAGATCACTACATTGTCAAAATGGAGTTCATGTCCATAATTATCCACATCCATTGAAATTAGTGATGAAATATCGTGCACGTACATAAATAACTAGTTGGTCAGGGCAAGCTACTGAATCATTCATGGAAAGATATTGACAGTTCGCTTCATACTGAAGTTAGTTCTGATGATGCCATCTAGAAAGTTGATGATGGCTCCACGGTTAAACAACCCAACTTAGGGAACACAATACAACCAAGACCATCCACCTGAGGTACAAATATTCCGCACCATGTCATAACTTTCCGTTTTTTAAATTTCTTTGTTGCTTGAAACTTCTCAGCACAACCACAATTCATAGTTTCTTATCTGTCAGATACTTGGCTTTAAATGTACTCAATAAAAGTGAATTTTAAGGCGTGCGAAATAGTAACGGGTTACGAAATTCAAAGCATGAGTGAATTACAATGTATTTGGAGTACTTGAGAATGACTTTCAAGGCGTTATGGCTTTTGAGAAGGACCATTTTAACTCAAACCTCTTGTTGTTCTCAAAGATAAGCTGATGCACTCCTATTAGAAGTATGAAAGAAATCTTAGATCAGTTATTCAAAGACAACGCAGTGATTCAGAACAACACTGCTTTCAGGATCCGAAATATTTTCAATGAGATATGTTTCCAAATTGAATTTTACGCTTTCAGTTGATCGAGTTAGTTAAAACATGAGGATAATAACATTATGTGTTTGATCAGTAAGCTGAGACGGTAATCTCCCCCTGTTTTCATTGAAGTGCCCAATATTTTCAAAAGCCTTCATACATTCACTTTCTCAACCCTTTCACTTTTAGGTACTTCAGTGTTATTCTTTATCTACGTACTTCTCTTTTTGTCATTTAAAAGGTGTAGTAAAGTGAACTGACACACTTCCTTTTAGGAAATCAAGGTGACGTTTTGAAATATGTTTGTCTTCTTAGTTAGCATAGTAACTGAACATACTCTTTACTGATACAGTATTGAATCCACATTGATTGGTCACCGAAGGGTGACCTAATTCGTGTCCTGGGTGCTGCTACAAAGCTCAGCATCACGATGCACTTGTTGGGTATTAGTTGTTTACGTTGATAGGATCGCGTCAGCAATCAGAACTAGACAATATGAAATTGGTTGCTCTCCAGTTATCAGAAAATGTACCTAATCTAGTCCTTTAGGAGGTCAGTTGCAGCCTGAAGAGTCCAGTAGTAAAGTCGCTGACTGCGGGACTAGGTGACGCGATTTTGAATTTCACGACGCATAAATCAAATATCTTGAGGATGTAGATATAATATGTAGTCCTAATAGTATAATTCTATACAATACACTATTGTCCTGTAGTTTGCAGAGTCCAATACTTGAATCTCGCCTTATTTGGCACTCATCAGCTGGATGTAGTCACACGCAATTGAGTGCTATCGTTCGCAGTAAGACCCGAATGCTGTACACATTACTTCAAACGCCAAAACGTTATCAGCTAAGCCATAGGAGCACGATAGCCACTCCTTGTGCAACAGGAATCGGTTGTTGCTTTCATACTTGCAACTCCCGGTTGACATGAAGTGCCAAACTAATCCAGTTTGGTAGCAGATGGGCTCTTATTCAAATGTCTCTATCCTGCTGGATTTTCATGATGTCATATGCTTCTTGATGACTAGCAGTGTAATTCAACCATGAGATTAATATTATTTTTATTCGTCATATATGTTCCTAGTGGAACATTTGGCTTCACTAACACGTCGCCATTTCACTCTCTTCTCCATATTCTTTTCAACCTGGCAACACGGCTGTCCATAAGATTTTCTTTCTTACTCACATGATCTCCTACATGACACCCTCGGATACCTAACTCGGCGTTTCAGATTACGGTTTTGAAGTGGTCAGCTCATCTTTTCCTTTGTATCTCCTCTTTAGTGAATAAGTCTCCCACACTATCTCTCTTTGGTTTCATCTCAGTTGATCTCTTCCCTCCCATATAGTAATCTAGTTATCTGAAATAGCTTTGTCAGGTCTCTATCCCACCTACCTGTAGCCTAAACTGCTTCACTTGTGCGTGTATGTGTCTTGGAAGTGTCGTTTGTATTTCCACGCACTCTTCTTCTCTTCCTTGTCCTATGTACTGTTTCATACGTTGTGTTCAGTTCCTCTTTTCGTTGTTCATCCCTGCATTGCGTTGCACTACACTCCACTGGTTCATCTTCTGCTTCACCATCTTCCTCTACCTCCTCTATCAGCCTTCATGTGTCCATTGGAATCCATTCTCTGTCTTGGCTTGTCTTTTCTTGTCTACCTTCGTCTTCCTTACTAACACAGTTATGCAGGTTTCCTTCCACACAGCTTTCAAAGAGTTCCAGTATCCTTCCAAACAGGTCTCCTCAAGGATGTTGCTCAATATCTCCCATTTCGTCCTCATGATCGACTGACTGACTGACTGACATGAAGATATCCTTCGCAGTTTCGTCACTCAGTTCACTTTCTGTTCTCGGTAGTTGTTGAACTTCAACTGTGGTCTATCACCAACTTCTCTGAAGGCTTTCAACTTGATTTCGAAAGTAGGTTGCTTTCATTAAATAGTGAGTAGTGTGAAGACACATCTGCTCCCCTTCTTCATCTTGCGTGCAGCACGCTGCATCTCCATCTACACTTTCTCCACACTGACATGAAATCGATGTGATGTTTAGTGTGTCCAGGTGTCTGGTCAAATCAAATCCATGTCGCCCGATTTGTGCATATCCTTGTGTTTGTACACACTACCTACAATCACCGATTCGTTGAATGTGCGGAAATCTGCGAACAGTTCTCCATTCTCATTCGTCATCTCATCGAGTGCTTCTCGACTCATGATGAGTTCTCTGCCTGTGTTGTCCGCTTCCAGTTTATCATTCACATCACTCCACCCATCAGAATGAAGTTTGATGTCACCGTCACCAACTGGCATGGGTGTTGTCCAGTAGTGAATGCAGTTATCTGTACAATTCCTCCTTTCTCTCTTCATCTGCATTATTTGTAGGTGCATAGCATAGCACTGAATGATTGTGACCTTCCTTCCATTCTAGTTGAATCTTGTTGTCTTGATCGTGATGCTGGAGGAGATTGGTCCCCACTGCATGAGTGAGAGAGAGTTTTCGATTCTGTTTGGGATATCATGATAGCCACTCGAAAATTCAGTGTGCTATTCTGGTGGTTGTCGTTTTGGGTGACAATATCGGAGTTGATGACTGACTTTGCAGTTGACAGTTTGAAGATTCCACTTCCATTCCTTCTGCAGATTCTTCGCATATTTCGAGCCTGGCACTTCTATGCCATACCTCCTCATCTCTTTGGGAATCTGGGTAGTCTTGCCAGATTGATACATGGTGTGGACATTCCGTGTCATTGTGTTTGCTTTTGTTTTCATCGAGAGAATATGTGAGAGATCGGAGAGTTGGCTTCTCGACGACTTTCACCAACGGGCGTCATTTTGTCTTCCCGATTGTAGTGGGAAATATGTCTTTTTTATTTTTAATGCTTTTTATGTGCTTAGGAGTTGGTTTTTGGATTGAATTGGTTTTACGGGTTGGGGTTGCTAGCCATATCTCCAGGCTGCCCTCTTTATCGGTGCTTGAGACCGGCTAGTAAACTCGTAAACTGGTAAACTAGGCAGCTCTTAATTGAAATAATCACAATTTATCGTATTTTTAGGTTTGCTTATATATTAACTTTTTGTTTATCTGTGGAGAGAGAAGAAAACCAAAGCAGGACACGGACAAAAGCATTCTCACAGTTAACCTAAAAGCACGCACGATCATATGGATAAGGGAATAATTTTTGCCTTTGTTTTTTAACTTCAGAAAAATAATCGCTTTCACTTCCCTAAGTGTCATCAAAAATGGATGCTTTACTCTTGAAATCATTTCCTGTTAGGGAATTCGCTTTCTTAGTCACACATGTTAGGCAAATGAAAATAAGAATTACGGTTGAAGCAGTAGACACTAATATTTATGTTCAATTAGTCATCTCCCTTTTTTACCTTCTTCAATTTCTGCTTGTTCGTGCAAGCCGAATTTTAAACTGCCTCACCATTTATTTTGATATCCTGGTTATTGAAGATTAGTGCAGTGTAATCTTGTTATAGTGAGCAGGAAAAAATATGAAGTAGTTATTCAAAATATCACTGTTTTCTATTCATCTCTTTGTCCTAAAGAAAGGTGCTTTCATCAGTCTTCCGTACAGAGGTGACTCACAAAGCGAAGTCCTTAAGAGTAGACTTAACGCTGCTGTTAGAAAGACTCAATATGCAGTTAGTGTTTGAGTGATAGAAATCACCAAACTTGTATACTCTTCCAAACGCTTACGGTATGTGAACAACTATATCTATCAATGTAAATTTATTTGTGGTGATACATACTTAAGGAGGACTCATAGGTCTATGCAAGTAACGGCCCCGGAGCATATCTTAAAGTAACTTCGGAAACAAGCTGAATCATCTGAAGCCATAAAAATTGGTTGCACATATCCAAGTCATTCGATCGCGAAATATAT